ATTTGCACAAAATGAGCCCGCAATATACAAAGCAGATGCAATTGATTAATTTTTTTTTATTAAGAATACGCCATTTTTACACAACAGAGAAAAAAACAGAATTTAGAGGTCAGCGCAACACTTTATGGTCACAATTGCCGCATGCTCGAACAATCGTGTGATAAGTTTGGGGCAATTATTGTCACTATATTGCTTTTCGCCAACTTACGGCAATGAGAATTGTATAAAAAGAGGCAACCGTGTCACTGTACAGAATTTCATTGGGACAATTTTTTTATTGTGCTCCAATACAGCACAATAAAAATTGTTCCAGATTGGTCCATTTGCGGCAATCGTGGGATCTCAGCTTTAGTTTAAACGCCCGAGCTGGCTGCTTTAAACTGAGATTAGCCAATCAAATGTCAGTCAGCTGTTCATTTTAAATTCAGTTTACCTAATCTAAGTTCAAACTGCCACTGAAATTGGCCCTTAGATATAGAAATTGACAATGAACGGGTAATACAAAGATTCCCAAAAGGAAAGCGCAAAATTGAGTTTGCAATTTAAATTATCATAATCAAAATTCTGAATAAGTTGTTAAGTTACTTAATTACATCCCTCATTTGACAAACATTATAAGTAAAAAATAAGTAAATACACAAATAAATACTGCTTTAATAAATACAAAACATAACTTTTTATCTTGTGCTTTTTTACAAAATAGTATAATTGTTTTATTACATGGGACTCTGCAAATGCGCTAAATTCACAACATGAAACCTACTTACATAAAGTAAAATTATATCACACACGGACTTCATAAAAATTACTAGAACCTCTATTTGTGTGAAAAATAAATGAGGGCTCAAGTAGGTTGTCTTGTAGGTAATATAGCTTCGATTGGTCACTCCGCTATGAATAAGTTAGATGCCTGTAATTTAACGTTATCCGACAAGTCCATCCCAATCGCCCCTCCCCAAACAAAATCCTGTATCCGCCACTGTCAACATATGCATTGTGTGGCTGAATGAAGTTCATAATACTAGTGGCAGAAATAAAAGAAACGCCTTATTTCAACCAGTTTAGTCTATATTTCTTTTCTTTATTTAATATTTACATTTTTGTATAAAAGTCTACCTCATTTTATATATCATTAACTGCATTTAAATGCGCATTACAAAATTTGTACACAAATTATAAAAATGCAGAATAACTTGCCAAAATTTCAAACTTTTTACTCAGCATTTTTAGAAAAATTTTAGGTACTCAGTTTTATAGCCCATTAAATTAAAGTAGGGTAAAATGAAGTTTCATGCAATTATAAAATATCGTTGATTTTTGGGAATTTTTTCCATATAAACAAATTGCTGAACAAACTTTGTATGGAAAAAAGCGTGACACCTCCAGCAAAAAAATTATAAAAAATCAACTTTACTCTTAGTCACTTGAAACTTGCACTTTATCCTCCTGTAATTTAATGGGCTATACTTATAAAATTGCGTACCTAAAATTTTTCTAAAAATTCTGAGTAAAAGATTGAAACAGTTGAAACAAAAAATTTCCAAACAAACCAAGCAATCAATATACTCACCACACTATGGGCCAAATACAGTAAAACTGCGTTTTTAGTTTTAGATTTTTTTTTACTACAACTTTATAAATTCAAAGATACCATAAAGTCTAAAAAATAATTTAAAAAATTCAGTGCAACGTAGAATAAAAATGGGTACCAAATGAAAGAGAAAATTCTGTAGGATTTAAAAAAAAAATTTCGGGTTCACAAGGACGAACAGGTATTGAAATGCCTTTTTAATCAATTTTATTTTTTTAAGCTAATAAAGTTAGAAGGACTATATTCGAGGACGTGGTCGAGTTTATATCAGTCCTTAACATATAATGTTTTCAAAATAAATACTGCAAAATTTGAAGGATATTCAAGGATACAATTTTTAAGGACATCTTCAATACCTTATGAACCAAAAAATTTAATCTGTTCTTTCTCAACAGAATTTTCTCTTTAATTTGATACCCATACTGTTTTCCTGAGTACACTGCACTAAATTTTTTAAACCATTTTCTAAATTACTCATATTATTCAATTTTCAAAGTCCTTTTAAAAATCCTGACGTCAGACTCCCATGGCTTCGCGAATATATTGAGTTTTTGTATGTAAAATTGCCTGTCGCACGGTGTTACGTGTATTTATAATTAGCTAGACATACATATACATATACAAAAAATATTAAATATGAAACAAAAGAAATACATATAGCGAAAACTGGTCAACATAAACATTCTATTATTGCCACCATTGCAAATTACAAATCCCGAAAATCCTGCGATTCTTAGCAAATAATCCCGGGATTTTCGGGACTTAAAAAGTCCGGGATCCCTGGATTAACATCCCTAATATGTACCAATTGAAATAAGACATATTTTTCTTATCTTTTTTTGTTTTCTTCTTGTAAATACCAAAAAAAGTTAAATCTAATTGTTGAGTATTATATTGTGTTCTTGTCTAGATAAGGTATCAAGAGGAGGAGTGCAATAAGGCCCGTGGTAATAACGCCCATGGACTTTATTTGCCAAAAAAAGAGAAATAAAGCCCATGGACACGATAACATTCCGGACACGATAACATTCCGGACACGATAACCTTCCGCCGAAAGCTCTTTATTTAACAAGAGATCTCATATCAGTCTTCTTGGCGACGGTTTTTAATATGATCAGAATTCCATAGAGGTTTTGAGAAAGTCATATATGTTTAACCAGTACACATGCTAGAATCCGAAAAGGTGATGTATCCTTATCAATTTGGGTTTAAAAAGGGTTGTGGCACTGAAGAAGCGGTGGTCAACGTTGTCAATATTGGTTGTTATGGGTTTGACAAATGATATTCTGGTGCAGCTGGAATATTTTACGACTTTAGCAAAGCTTTTGATCTGGTTGATCATAGTATTTTATTGCAAAAACTTGAAATGTTAGGTATAATGGGATAGAGAACATAGATTGATAACCGACTAGATACCTCTCGAGCTTTAAACAATATGTGGAATTAAATGTATCAAAAAGTAACTTAAGAACTATTACCTATGGTGTGCCGGAGGGTTGTGTCTTGGGGCCGTTATTATTTAAGTTATACATTAATGACATTAAAAATCTTGATTTAAATGGCCGTGTTGTAATGTTTGTGGATGATATAAGCTTGTTTTATCCTTACAAACACCCTGCAGTCCTAAAGGTTCAGATTGAACAAGATGCCATAGTGATTTCTAAGTTCTCGCGTTTACATAAATTGGTCATAAATGCAAAGAAAACAAAGTTTATTCGGTTTCGACCCCTTATAAAAAGTCAACCGAATCAAAGCGTATATGTCGAAGGTGACGAGATCAAAGCAGTTGACTTAGTTAAATATTTAGGAGTACGTCTTTCCCGGAATTTATCTTGGGGTGTCCATATTGATTCGATGAAATCAAAAATATGTCGCGCTATTGAGATTCTTTATAGATTTAAGAATAAGCTAACAAAGAAGTTAAATTGTCCTTTTACCAATCACTCGTTCATAGTCATTTAACTTATCTTCCGATAGTGTAAGCCCATAAAGTAACCAATGAACTTAGGTCCCTGCAGTCATGTCAAAACACTGCACTAAAGCTGGTTTTCAACCTATCAAGAAGGCATTCCATGTTAAGTGTTTTCGAAGAGTATACTAAGTCAATGCTATCAGTCTTTGGCTTATATAGAAAGCAGATATTTAAATGGTATTGGTTATCATGTTTTGAAATTTTATAGGAACCAATCAATGTTTGAAACCCGAAATAGCGAACTGCTTAGAGTAGCTAGATGTCGGCTAGAGGTATCGAAGCAAAGAATAGAATACGCCGGACCTAACCAATTTAATAAATCACCTAATGCCATTAAAACGATGGAACGTGTATCGCTTTTTAAAACCGAATTAAAAATTAAATTTTTTATGTAATTTTTTCTCCCTAAACTCCTTGTATGATCAGTTGTCAGATATACTCTTTGTAGCAATTTGGTGCAGGGAAAATTAATAAATATGTACTTTGATTTGATATTTGTTGTGTATTTCTTGTAAAATTAATTACTTTGGAAATAAATTAATAATTTTTACCTTAAAAAAAAAATCGATTATCCTTAAAAATTCTAACTAGGCCAAAAATCATCCTCCACTAAAATTGTTGACCGGAAAATCTTACCACTTATGTTTAATAACTTAAAATAGGCCTAAGTTCATCTGAAGTACTATGTTATTAAGTGCTTTCTTTTTAATCCTTTCTGAATCATTATATCTTTTTTTCTAATGCCATTCAAGACAATTTCACAACAGGTACGGTGGTTTCTACAACTGCGTTAATCTAAGTTAAACAAATGTTAATACATATATCGCAGTTCTATAGAAATTTTCTCAGATTAACATTTTCTAACAAGATAAATAGATTTCTAAATCCTTTATAGTCTGCTGTAGACTTGTACAAGATTCTACAAAATCGTAGTGATAGGGACACAAACACGAGTAATGGGGCAGATAACTTATCAGTTTTACATGTTGCAAAAACTTTCATTGAATTCTAGGCAAATATATAGTCAAAATCTTAAGAGATAAAGATTTCAAAGGATATTTTACAAATGTTAGTTTCGCTTTATTTCAATAGGATAGTTATCAAAATTTAACAGCACCTATAATGCTCAATTCGCAATTGTTCACGCAAATACTTTCGTAATTATGTCTTATTATTTACTGCTAAAATGAAATGAGAATAGTTATCAAGTCAATAAAAAAATTCAAATAAAAAGAAAACCACTGGCCACGTTACACTTATTTATTATGTAAAATATTAAACACAAAATGCTTGGACATGATGAGGATTAGTATCAGAGGCAGATGTACAATATTTGAAAGAAAGAAGAAAATCGGGCTGGTTTTCTTTTCTGTGGAATCGACCATATATTAATTTTATTATACACTAATATTTTAATTAAATATTGAAAGTACGTACATTTGTCTCACTGCTGGGCGCTTCCGTTGTTGTGTTAGTTGTTGTTGTCGACGATGTTGTGGCAATTGAAACTTTTTTGAACGGCGCCACTGCTACTGTATTTGTGACCAGCATAAACAGAGCTGTAAATAATGAGTTCAATCAAAAGAGTTATAAAAAATCTAGTTTAATTAAATCCAAATATATAACATAAATTATCCTAAAATGTTTTAATATATAAATAAATTAAAATAGGTTTTGAAGTTGTGTATCCAATTTCAAATCATATGTTTCTTGTTTGAAATAGTAGTAATCTTACAATTCTGCCTCCCATTATAATAAAGTGCTCAGGTTCGATTAATGGTTTTTTCTCAAGTCTTACGTAAAGTTTCCAACATTTAATTAAAAAACAAAAACTTAATTGACTTTAGAAGCTTTAACGTTGCATTAAAAAATAAAAGGCTTCGGTTTAAAAATTTAGTCTACTCTTAAGAGATACAGCTGGCAGAAATCGTTATACATTTTTTACACAATGGAGTTAAGATATGTGAGATGGTCCTCGATGCTTTGAAGTCACAAATTGGTCAAATACCATGACAGTTTAGAATACTTATAATTGTTATGCTGGCACACAAATATTTTGAAAGAACTACTTTATTTGTCCAGGCTGCTGGCAATTATTTTCTAGAGCATAACAAAATTGAAAAATTCATTTTTCCTAAACTATGTGTATAATAGATATCAGAATAAAAGATTGCGTCCTTATAGATAAATAATTACATTTTCTCATATAAGAACAACAAGGTCAAATTGAAGTACATACATTGAAATTTTTTAATAAAATAATTTTTGTCTGTGCTATTATAAAAAGACATACGAATATGGTCAATCTTCTTCTTCTCTACTTAATTAGCGAATAGGGGATTTTGGCCGAGTCCAATAAACACGCCATTCTCGATTCATCGATTCTCTTCCTAGCCATTAGAACATTGAACAAGTGCTTAACCTATACAGTGTTTTTATTTAGTAGTCAAAGTTCAAAAGGGGCGTATTATATTTCAGAAAAAGTAATTTGTTATGCCTTTTCTCCCGTGAGGCTGTTGGCGAAATTATAGGTACCATCTCAGGCCCCTGAAAAATTCTTTGGATGTGGCCCTCCCAGTAAAAATCGTTATGTTGTAATTTAATTTTAACCCTAGAGTACTAACTAACTAACTAACTGGCTAAGAGTATCGAAATTATGGTTTTATTTCCAATCGCAAAGTGAAATAAAGCCATTATGGTCTTATTGCGTATGGTGTTATTGCACCCCACCATATTGGATACAATAGCAGTAGCTTTGCGTCTATTACAGGTTGCATTCAACGCGTTTTGCGATTCTTTAAATAAAACCTTATTTAAACCCATAGTGCAATCTAGTGATAAAAGTGACATATTACGACATATGGTGTGAAAAGCCATACACCCTTCGAAGGCACGTAGCTCGCTATTTGTAGACACTTTCGAAAATACGTTGTCAATTCTAGTAGTTGATGCTCTTTCCGTATGGCTCTTTTTGTGTTTCTGCGAATTGATATGAGCTATAATATCATTTACATCTTTATTAGCAATGCGATATTTGACGAACACAAAGTGCAAGATGCTTCCCAATCGAAATCTCCCTTTTCCATAAACGGATATTTTTGTTTGAGCACGTTACTAAAAACGCATTTGCGCTTGGGCATCGTTGTAAATGTACACATCTTAACACATAAATATACATTACTTATTACACATTTGTGATGTATTAAGTGAACATTTTCCCGAAATTGTATATCCTACGGCCGCGATTAGGGATTTTAACCCTCACTAAATATAATTCTCCTTTCTGTGTTGCCGAAGAAAAAGAAAGGAACTTCCCCTTCTTTTGTCGAAAGTACTTATATAACATTTCTTGTGCATAATTTGGGTGTTTTCAAGTTGCAATACAAAAAGTATATGCTAGAAAGAAGTAAGGTGACTGCACCGATTTTTCTCTATCTTATTTATTTATATCAACTTGACAAGATTGTTGTGCGGATTTTTAACTCCGGAATATTGCAATAAAATATACAATTTCGCGAATATGTTCACTTAATACATCACAAGTTACTATAAGTAATTAATACGTGTTAAGTTGTATTCATTTACTCCATTTATTTGCGTGAAATTCATAAAAACAAAATGCGAAAAGTACAAGTGTTTTTTGAAAATAACTTTTAAATTAATTAAACATGTTAATTTCCGCCGGCGTTAAAACGCGTCCTTTCATACCCCTCCTGACTTTTCCGGTGAATTTTGGGCTGGTTCCGCTAAAGTGCACTAACAACGGGTTTCAGCAGCAATTTAAATGGAAAAGGATTTTTTTTATTTTTTGTCAATTCCCATATAAAATTAAAAAAATTAAATCATATTTCACATAAATTGCTTTCGTGAAATTGGCTTATACCTTTAAATGCTTTTTAATTTTAAATTTCTAATTCAAAAACAAAAAAAACTCAATGCGTGTAGTCCCTACGCGCGGAAGAAGTGAAACTCAATAGAGGAAATTCCAGAAAGAAGGAAATGTGCGATATGCATACTCATGCACATATTTTCTAATATAGAAAATACATATTTATTTTAATATTTTTTTTTTTAATTTTTTTTTTTTTATAACCAACTACTAAGTTTAATTTTTATTTGTGGCTGAGAAAACATTCTACAATACTAACTAGGGGATTGTGGTAACTAAAGTAAGATATGAAATGGTTTGTTTCAATATTATAAATATTTCCTCCTTTAGTTGTTGGATCATTTCTACCATTAACAATTTTCAATGAAAATTTTCTCAATTCATCAGATTCAGTTATAGCAGACCTGTTAAATAATCACTAATATTCATATGATCAAATACCGACAATACCACCTTTCTAATGATTCTAATTCATTAATTTTAATTACATCATTATTTCATCATTTTTGACATTTTTAAATTACACTACTATATTATTATTTGATTAATTTCTATTATCAATCAGCAAGCCAAACTATAGACAAAAATTAAGAATACATATTTAATAAATGCTTGAATTATTAATTTATTTTATTCTTACCCAAATCTCAAATTCTAAACATTAATTATTACTTTTATAAAATTTAAAAAATTTAAAAATTTTTAATGTATTTAATTTATTTTAATGAAAACTTTCATTTTTATTTTCGTTCACTCAAAAATTAACTGAAGTATTCATTTTATTTTTAACTAAAATGTTTTCTTTTGCATATTGAATATTATTATTAAAGATAAAAATATAGTAATTATTGTACCTGAAATCTTTTACTTTTAATAACACTTAATGAAAAATGCATTTAAATTTATGTTCGAAAGTTTGAAATATTTATGTATTTATTTTTGCTTTAAATTAATACTCAAAAAATTTAACACTAATTATTGGCAAATCGAAGGCTGCTAAATAAAAATGTGTAATATTTAAAGTGTACTTAATCAAACGTTTTTTATTGCATATTCATGAATTAATTTTATTTTTTGACTCCCAAAGTATTGGTTTTAGTCCATAATTGGACTAGTATTTTTCTGTCTATTTTGAATTAGTATGAGACTAGTATATTTCTGACCCGAAATCTGACAATTGCCATCTCGTAGGACATCCCCATGTTAAAAATACTAGTTGATTGCATAGAAAAAAGGTAGTTGGCTGACTAATTGGGCATGCGGTTCATACTAGTGAGGTAGTTTACAACTAGTACATTTGACTACAGGGAACTTTTATGAATATGAGTGAAAATTAAATATCTGAAAACAGTTACACATACCATGAAATAAAACTTTTTTAAATGTACGATAAAATGATTGTAAAAATGACATATTTATCAATACAGGCAAAAAATGTATTACTATTTTTAAATTGCATACATCTCAAATAATAATGTAATGATAAGGTACTTTTGAAAGCAATGATTAATAAAGAAACCTTAAACAAAAATATACAAAAGCAGATTCTGTAAATATGCTTATTCTACTCCATTAAGAAATGGGGAATGGCGCTTTTTTGCTATTTTTCGCAAATTTACTTGAAATTTGTTAGGGGGTACCAGTCAAACGGACCCCAGAATCGGATTCAGCGGGTCGAAATACATGTTGCTAGGTGGGTCTAGTTAGAAGCAAACACCACTTTTTTGCGCCGTTGTTGTTATTATTGCACTTAAAATGTGTACGTAAGAGCAGCAAAGCATTCAAAGCATGGTCTTCTAATCTTGACCTGAACTTGTTACATGCAAAACCTGCTGATGAAAAATATCTTTCGGCCTTAACATTTTTAGGCGGAATTGTTAAAAGGTAGTCATAATGACCCCCATCTTCTCCATTACAAAATATTTGAACTTTTACTTACCAGAACGGCGGATAAATTATAAGTTTTTCGAATTGAGGAAGTTTGAGTAGATTGATTAAAAAAAATTTTGTAACTTTTCCTTAAAACTTTCTGTTTCGTTTACATAAGCGACTCTATGAGTACATTCATTTAAATCTTCCACAAAAAAAGACTAAGGTTGCATTTATAAAAGTACAGTTTCAAGCCTTTTGTTAATTGTTGGCAAAAAGGCATTTTACAAAGACCATACATCAAATTCATAAACCAGTTCTTAATTTTAATTTGAAATTTAAAATTTTTCGGAATTCCGGGATTTGCTTGCATTAATCGGGACCTCAAAAAACCGAGATCCCTTGTATGGACTTATGTAAGTATTTCATTATGTTAGTGAGAATTATAAAAAAGGTAGTGAACATTTTCTCAAAAACAGTATGCAGTGTACAATGTACAATGTACAATGTATACACCCATGGAAATAATCAAAACCAAACTTTATGATGAGAAACTTTTCATCAGATAATTATAAATTATAATTACAAAAGTAGAACACAAAGATTACAAATTAGTATTGATACTTACACGCCGTTATGAGCTGCCATCGCCTGGCTTTTTTCATGTCTGTAGTTTGATGTCTGAAAAGAATAAAAGATAGTTAGTTAACCTTAATAATTTAAATAATAACACAGGCCAACAAAAATGGAGGAAAAAATTGATGCGGCAACTGCCAAAACTGTTTTTGATAGACTTTCTTTGTGCTGATAACGAATCCGTAAGTTTAAAGTTTCCATGAGCTCCAGATTTTATGAAAAACGAAGTGAAAATGTCAAAAATCGCGTTTTTTGCAATATTTGAGAAGCCCTAGTTAAGAAACAAAAGATGACGGAACATTCCACTTGGGCTAAGATTAAAGTTAGAATTCTCGACTACTATCCCTGAATATAACATCCCTGCAAATTGGCCTGGAAATAATCTAAATTCGATTCCGTCGTCGAACAAAAGAAAATCATCATTCCATGTTACATGTATATAAAACTTGATATCTCTAAAAATTTAATAAATGGTTTTAAAACACGATACAACATTTACCTACTTAAAATAATGGCTTCATTCAATAACTTTTCCATTAAGTACTTAAAGCGAGAGCGTAAAAGAAAAATAGAGAATAAAATTTAGAGGAAGAGAAAATTATCAAAAAAAGTTATTGAACGCAAAACTAGTAAAAACTTGCAACTTACGCAATTTTGATACTTTCAGACAGTTAAGTTTTGGCGCGCAATTATCATTTTAATTGGGAATAGTAAAATTTGCCTTGAAAAGCTTCTAAGAAGTGGAAGTGTTTTCTGATTTGTTCAAGTAAATCTGTATTTACGCATTAATGTCTTCAAAAACTTTTCCTGCAGATTCACCGTTTGTACCTTTGAATTCGTCAGAAGTGTATACAGCAAATAAGTTAAACAGTAGTAGTTTACGATTTTGGTTGAAAATACACATATGTATGTATGTATGTATGTATGTACATTAGACTGCATCACTCCCCATCCAAAAAAATTCGGTACAATTTTTCCATTGGAATTATAAAATCTATTATATTTTAAGACATTCACCAAAATATTTCGGAAAAATATTAAGATTTAAGTGAGCTGGACCGACTTGAAAATACCTCCAAAAATGTAGTTTTTTATGAATAAAAAGAGTTTCTTAAAGATTTTTTTTTTTAGAAAATCCTCTCAAATGACAAAACGGTGTAAGCTTAAAATATTTGCATAAAAATATTAAAAAAAAAAAAATTTAAAAAAAAAATTTGAACGGAATCGTAATGATGAGATTTTTGATGCTGTTTTTTTTTAACTTTTTCAAAGATTGGTATAGGAAAATCTTGAATAACTGAACCTAAACTCTTCCGATTTAGACTTAAGAGGTGTCATTGGAAAGGTATTTTCTTCCCTTTTTATTTCTTTGCTAATAAACTCATTCAAAGGATGGAAAAGAAATGTAGAATGAACGAACGTCATTCAAAGTTGAATTAAGATGTGTTGATATTTGAAAAAACAAGATGGGACACTAATGTCGTTTTTTTGGCCAGAAATAAAAACAGTGTGAAAATACCTTTCTACTGAGATTCCATAAGTCTAAATCAGAACATTTTTGGCCCAGTTATTCAAGTTTTTCGTAAACCAATCTTTGAAAAAAGTAAAAAAACAGCATCAAAAATCTCATTCTTACGATTCCGTTGAAAAGGTTTCCAAATATTTGTATGCAGATTCTTTAAGCTTAATCTAATTTGTCATCTGAGGGGACTTTTTACAAAAAGTTCTTTAAGAAACTATTTTTATTCATAAAAAACTCCATTTTTGGAGGTATTTTCAAATCGGTCCAGCTCACTTAAATTTTAATATTTTTCCGAAATATTTTGGTGGACGTCTTAAAACATAATAAATTTTGTAATTACGGCGGAAAAACCGCAACTTTTTTTGGTGATGCAGTCTAATGTACCTACATAGATACACACACATCGAGCCCTAATCGTCAAAAAGTTGGAGCGACATTTTTTCAAGATTTCAATTTTGATGCAGTAATGCATCTGGACGCTCTAGGAACATTTCTGCATCAAAAAGAAAATTTTGAAGAACTGTCGCTAATATCTTATTTGCTATGTACATAAATAAATTCAAAATTAGCATGGCTCACTTAATTTCAAAAGTTTTTCTTTTGTTTTGAAAATTAAAAAATAAAAATTAAATTGAGCGAAAACAAAAAGCAAAGCCAAATAAAAGTAAAAGAATCAACATTGCACTGCGTCAAAATGAAAATAAGGAAGCACAAATTCGATGTGAAGCAAAACGCTCTGGGAAGACAATACCTGTAATTATTGTACCATGATCTAAAGAAAATATGAAATTTGACAACAAAATTTATCGACAAATTTTGACACAACTATCTTCCTCGATGATATTATGGGCCAAAGCTTACAAATAGCCGCTTTAGTAGTGGATGTACACGCCTGAAGGCCTGTTCTGATCTAAATCAATCAAAAGACCATTTTTTAGTCCCATTTGACAATTTGTTTTCACTCATTTGAATTTGACTTAGTGAAAATAAGCCTTAAAATTAACCGAAAATAAGTAAGAAAGTCTAAGTTCGGGCGGAGACGAACATTAAATACCCGGCGCAAGTATTAAATATATGTTTTCCACCTTTCCGAAAGCTACCGCTACATGATAAGCGGGTGTATAAATTTTAAGTAAACTAGCATCCTTAAATTTCGAAATATTGAAATTTAAAGCATTTCTGAAATTTACCGTTGTATGAAAAGCGGCCGTAATTTTAGTCCGATTTCAAAAATTTTCAACGGTTTGCTTTTATGTGGCAAGCACAATAACCATACCGAGTTTGGTACAAATTGCTGGAACGGTTAACGAGAATTGTTGCAACCATCAATTTTGAATAAATTAGCTGTAATATTTACTGATTTATCGAGGATTTCGTATTTCTCGAAATTACCGTTATATGGGATGTGGGCGTAGTTATTGTCCGATTTTTAAAATTTTTGGCCCTTTGGTATGCTGTACTAGGGTCAAAGACTGTGCCAAGTTTGGAAGAAATTGGTGCAGCGGTTACCAAGATATACACATGTAACTATAAGTGGGCGTGGCTACGCCCATTTTCCAAAAATTTGTAATATTCTTATTTTTCGTCTAAAAGCTATTCTAAATGTCAATTTTGAGTGAATTATCTTCAGTAGTTACTAAAATATCGCAGCTTTCGTATTTCTGAAAATTACCGTTATATGGGAGGTAGGCGTGGTTATTGTCCGATTTCGCCTATTTTCAATACCATCCGTCCTACGCCCAAAAGAAGTGAATGTACCAAGTTTCGTTAAGATATCTCAAGTTTTACTCGAGTTATCGTGTGCACAGACGGACGGACGGACGGACGGACAGACAGTCACCGCTTAATCGATTTCTCTTTTCATTCTGATCATTTATGTATACATTTGTCTATATCTATCTCGATTCGTTTTGCCTGTTACAAACAACCGTTATGTGAACAAAGTTATAATACCCTTGTGCACAAGTGCGCTCGGGTATAAAAGTTATGATTTTGAGGATAGCTAGGTAAAGTGGTAATTTGCATTTGGCTGCTCTTAATGAATGTAAAATGTTTAAGATAATACATAATATGAGTTTTTTAATTTCTTCCTTTTAACAATTTTTCTTTAGAATTGTTTATTCTTCAAAATGAAAGCGAAGCTCCTCCCGTGCCTACAAGTAAATATATTAGCACGGCAAAAGAAAAGAAAAAAAAAATACATCTAATCAAAAGATGATTGTACCTAAAATCTAGTGACTGTACCTAATGTACCTTTCAGTCATCAAACGTTGGAAAAAGGTACAATTATTCATCACTGGCCTGTACATAAATTTGGATAACTTAACAAGAAATGCACTCGTATTTTAAATTTCATTTGTGAGTATAATTTCTAAAAGTAATAACAAAATCTATTGACAACGAGTTCCATTCAATGTCCTCTTCAATATTAAAGAACAAATCGTATATTTGCATTTATTGATTACATTTAAGAATTCGTTTGTTTTGATAAAAAAAAAGCACAATATTTTGCGGCAATGTCGTGTCAATGATCCAAAAATGGTATTTAAATTACAATGGTGACGCCAGTAGCGGGGCCTTAATACATAACTATCTTCACGTTTTCGCCATTTTCGTTTCTTCTTCGCTGTGTGACAATTCTTTTAATGCTTGTTTTCTTGCTTTGGCTATTTATAATTCGAGCCACGTCCTCGCCATTACAAAGCAAGACTTTATGTTGCCGTTCATACGAGTGCTATCCAAATACATATGTACATTAGACTGCATCGATCCCCATAGAAAAAAAAATCGGTACCGTTTTTCCATTATAAAATCTATTATATTGTATGGTGAAGCCAAAATATTTTAGAAAAATATTAAGATTTACGTGAGCTGGACCGATTTAAAAATACCTCCAAAAATTTAGTTTTTTATAAGTATTTTTAAAAAAAAATCTCCACAGACAAAACAGTTTGGGCTTAAAAAAATTTGCACGTAAATATTAAAAAAAAAAAGTTATGGAATTCTAAATATTCAGATTTTTGATGTTGTTTTTGCACTTTTTTCAAAGATTGGTTTAAGAAAAACATTAATAACTCAGCCAAAACTTTACCGTTTTGGACTTAACTCTGGGGTATTACTGGAGAGGTATTTTCTCACCTTTTTTATTCCTTTGCAAATAAACTTATTCAAAGTATGAAAGAGAAAGGTAAGATGATTGACCGTCATTCAAAGTTGAATTAAGATGTGTTGATATTTGTGAAAAACAAAATTTGGACGTGAATGAGTTTTAAAAAGTGAGAAAATACCTTACAACTGATACCACATAAGTTTAAATCTGTAAAGTTTTGGCCAAGTTACTCAAATTTTTCTTAAACCAATATTTGAAAAAAGTAAAAAAGACAGCATCAATAACACAGGCCAACAAAAATGGGAAAACAATTTGGTGAAGCAAATGGTAAAACTGCTTTTGATATACTCTTTTGTGCTGATTACAAATCCGTAAGTATAAATTTTTAATCAGCTCCAAACTTTGAGAAAATGA